GCCCCCCCCCCTCCGCCTATCTTTAGAGGTGTTATTTTTTTTTCTTGCAAGGACCTCTATTTTTTATTGCGGCCGAGCTCAATCTATAAAAAACAAAAGATATTAAGGCTTTTTGAATTTCTCTCTTGTGGAATGAGGAAGATCATCTATAGGAAACAACGTTGCAACGACAAAATGGTCAAATCCATCATAAAATCTTACACAATTTTTTCTTGATTCAATCACTCACTTTTGTAGCACATTAAATACCATTCAATGCACTAATATATCTTTAGCAGAGAAGTAAAGTTATAATTTGGCACGAAAAAATAAATGACCAATTCAAAGGAACAACTAACAACTTCTATTTGTAAGGATTATTCTTTTCATTCTTATTTTATTTGGTTGTCTTCCAAAAATATAAGAGAATTGTCAAACTAAATGTATATCTTAAATGGGCAAAGGGTAAAATTTGCCTAGGATGAGAACTTGCCGAGTTGGATTCAGGATGATCTTGCCAATGAAGTTTGAGTAGGATCTTCTAGCTAGATTTAAGGAGAACTCTCCAACCTAATTCACAAAGTCTCATCTGCTTGGGCCTGGGTAAATTTATCAGCCAAATTTTAGCACGGATCATTGACCAAGCTTATGCAGAACTTGTTGAAAGTTAACATTGAACTCGTCGAATTACTTAGCCCAGACAGTCTCCTAAGCTTAGAAATCCATTTGGTGACTTCCTATCAAATAGATGGGTGACTACTGGTCTTATTCTGAGCTCTTGGTGAGGTTCTATGCCTCTTGTAATTTATTTTATACTTTTTGCATTTGTAACTCATCCTGTATGAGCTATTCCGACCGAGCCGAACAAGAGCCAAGCCTGAGCTTGCTCAAGCTCGGCTCGTTTACAGCCCTAGTCTAACGGCTGTCTGGATTAGAAAAACTGAAAAGAACCAAAATAGCCCAGTCCCAACGAGGCACAGTTACTGAAGGGGATCCACCACTTGTTCCTGGAAATACAACAGACGCGCCACTCACAAAAAGAAGAGGCCACAAAACTCAAGAGAGCAGAAAATCAAAACAGTAAAATACCAAATATATAGTCTTCTGATAGAAAATAACCCTAATTAAAAATAAAGAAAAAGGCGGTGAGACCTGCAATGCTATGGCGCAAACTGTCAACCTTTAGAAGAGAAGCATGAAACTAATTTAAATTTTGTTGAAATGAGAATGCATAGGAGGATTAGTGGCTTGAAACAGAGACAAAATGTGAAATGAATGTATCCGCCAAAGGGTTAGTGTAGCTCCAGTGTCAAAAAAGATTACAGAGTTGTCTTAGATGGTTTGGTCACATTAAACGTTGGTCATCTGATGATCTGATTAGGAGAGCAGATGTTTTAAATTCGACTTGTGTTAAGAAATGCAGAGGTAGACCTAGGAAGACTTGGGCTTATTGTATTAAAAATGATCTTAATTTACTAGAACTAAATGAAAATATGACACTAAATAGGACGCAATGGAGAAAAAGGATTCATGTAGCTGACCCCACGTAGTGGGATTAAGGCTTTGTTGTTGTTGTTGTTGTATTCTTATTTTATTTGGTTGTCTTCCAAAAATATAAGAGAATTGTCAAACTAAATGTATATCTTAAATGGGCGAAGGGTAAAATTTGCCTAGGATGAGAACTTGCCGAGTTGGATTCAGGATGATCTTGCCAATGAAGTTTGAGTAGGATCTTCTAGCTAGATTTAAGGAGAACTCTCCAACCTAATTCACAAAGTCTCATCTGCTTGGGCCTGGGTAAATTTATCAGCCAAATTTTAGCACGGATCATTGACCAAGCTTATGCAGAACTTGTTGAAAGTTAACATTGAACTCGTCGAATTACTTAGCCCAGACAGTCTCCTAAGCTTAGAAATCCATTTGGTGACTTCCTATCAAATAGATGGGTGACTACTGGTCTTATTCTGAGCTCTTGGTGAGGTTCTATGCCTCTTGTAATTTATTTTATACTTTTTGCATTTGTAACTCATCCTGTATATTTTTCTATCGCTATATAAATCTCAAGCCTCACCCATAAATAGGTTGTTGTGAAGAGACCTAGGTTTACGTAGTCCTGCATAGTCTAGCATAAAAATGTTATTTATTTGAGCCTGATGGTGAATTTTTCTTTCCTCATTCTCGAGTTTCTCTCCGTCTATGTTTTAAGCTTCTCGTTTTCTCCATGTTAAATAAGTTTCTGGCACAACCCAAGGACAGATAAATGAGGATTCAACAGAGTGCTCAAATTATTGAACATGCTTTGATTTTTTGAAATACCGTCTACCATACAATTTTAATGCACTTGTTATTAGTTAGGATGCATGGATATTATTGGTGGCTTGATTTGCGTGGGAAGAAAAGCTGCCGTGGCTAAAGGCTTTCTCCCTCCTTGAATACCTGAAATTAGAGAGAAAATATTCATACAAAACATTGAGGCAAGTAAATAACCATGCTGCTCACTAAGCTATTTTTATTAAGTAAAGGCCTTCAAATTCATGTTGAAAGTTGATATTATCATGAGAACATCATATAGATAGAAATCTCTATGCCCAAATTATTTTATTATCTCACTAACAAGTAATAACAAGTACCATTGATGTTGAGTGACTATCTTTGATGACATTTATGAATGTAGGTTGACCTTACAGAATTTGTTGAGAAGCATGAATTTGTGTTTGATGCTATACTCGATGAGGATGTCTCAAATGATGAAGTAAGCTATAGAAAGTTCAGTGTAAATTAGATTATAGATCTTATATCTACGGGCCCTCTAAACTTATGTTTTCTAGGTATACCGTGAGACAGTGGAGCCAATAATCCCAGCTATCTTTCAGCGCACAAAGGCAACTTGTTTTGCGTATGGACAAACAGGTAAGTACTCTTGTTTGAGATTGGATGATTTTTTTGTTTTTCTTTCTTTTACAAATTCAACTTTCTTTTGCTGTAGCATTTTTTACTTCATGATGCTTGTCTAGTTTTCTTCATGTGCAGCCAAAAACATTATCCATCTTGCTTTGCACTCATTGCTTCGGCCCTAGCATAACATTAGCTACACATTATAATAACCTACTGCTTCATGCGGGTATTGAGTGCTTGCTAGATTAAACTTAGCTCAGTATTGTATGACTATTTGACAAACAGTCTTTTTATGGTTCCCACGAGACTTATCCACCAAGTATTATGGTTAGTTTTTGTGGAAGCCACCCCTATCACTTCATTTTTGCACCACACTGTAGGTAATGAGCAATTCTTCATCCATTAATCATACATTAGCTAACAATCGATAAAGCCCATTGTGTCACATTTCATTTTGTGTAACTTTGGATCCATTAATCATTGAATGCAGTGCGAAAGAATGAATTCTAATATGGTGTTTTCTGAACAGGCTTTCCTTTTCTTAATGTTATTTCTGCCATCAATGCTTCCGTCATAACAATTATGTCACCTGAAAGTTTGTACATGTTTTTAAGCAATCAATTCATGGTGGTACGATGTTATGACAGCTTGACATTATCCCTGTAATGATAAAATAAATATATCTTGTGATTTAATTATTAGAAAGCCATTGCGTACACTTATTCTATTCCTTCCTAAGTAATGAGGGTAAAGCATATGCACAAAAAAATTAAGCAACTTCGTCTGCAAGTTGCAAGTTAATGTGGAGGGTAAAGCATATGCACCAAAAAATTAAGCCATTGCGTACGCTTCATCTATTCACATCAACTTCTTTGTATTTATTTGATTATTACATTGCACCTTGGTTCTGATTCTCTTATTTTCGATTTTAATTTAAGAAAAGCAAGTTTACTTGTTTTGTGGTTTTTAATATTGGAATCCTTTAGTTTTCTTGTATGATTTACCGGCGCCATATTAGAATAATTGCATCAGAAAAATCTACGAAAAGGAAATCATTCTCCTGAATGTCACTTCTGTTATGAATAATCGTAAACTGCAAATTTTTAACATTGTTCTCGACATTTATTCTCTTATTTGGGTATATTTTGTAAGTCACATTACTATAATTGGCAGCTCTGTAGTGTTTTTCATTAGTTTATTAGTAAGGTAAAATGTGATTTTAATATATACATTTTTTAAATATCAACTGATAAGAAGAGCAAAATTCTGACCCATGTGATCATTCACCTCAGCCTAGATTTCTGTCAACTAAACAGGTGCGCTTTTTTTTCAGGCAGCGGGAAAACTTACACAATGCAACCGCTACCACTTCGGGCGTCTCAAGATATTCTAAGATTAATGCATCATACATACCGGAACCAGGGATTTCAATTATTCGTTAGTTTCTTTGAGATTTATGGTGGGAAGCTTTTTGATCTGCTAAATGATAGAAGGTGGGCTTCTAAGAAATTTACATGTGGGATGAAGGGCATGCATGTTTTTTTTTTTTTTTTGAAAGATTTACATACATTCCACTCAATTCCTATTTAATTACATATCTAACATCTAAACTTCAATTTTTGCATATTCCGTCGTACCTACGCATAAAAAGTTGTATTTCACTTTTTAAAAGTTAATATAGCACTTTTTAAAAGTTAATGTATTTCACTTTTTAAAAGTTAATATAGTGGTATTTTTTATTTGATATGAAAGATTTGGGTGATATGAATGTAAACAAAATAAAGTTTACATGTTAGATATATAAATACATAAGAATTGGGTGGTATGTGTGCAAATTTTGCTTATTTTTATTTTTTTTTTTGCTGACTACAAATCCTTTTTCTGCCTCAGAAAACTTTGCATGAGAGAGGATGGTAAACAGAAAGTTTGCATAGTAGGTTTGCAAGAATACCGTGTGTCAAATGTCGAGACCATCAGGGAGCTTATTGAGAAGGGCAATGCAACCAGGAGTACTGGTACAACTGGCGCAAACGAGGAGTCCTCTCGATCCCACGCCATACTTCAGCTTGCTATTAAGAAGTCAGTAGATGCCAACGAATCAAAAAATTTCAGGAGGTCAGCCGACAACAACGAATCAAAACTAGCTCGAATCATAGGCAAGATGTCATTCATAGACCTAGCTGGCAGTGAACGAGGCGCGGACACAACCGATAATGATAAACAAACTCGGTAATCTTTATCATCTTGTCATTCTTTCTTAGCCATGAAATCCAAACACCATAGGCTTTTCTGATTGAAATTCAAGCTTGTGATGCAGAATTGAAGGTGCCGAGATCAACAAAAGTTTGCTTGCCTTGAAAGAATGCATCAGAGCTCTTGATAATGATCAGGTTCATATCCCTTTCAGAGGGAGTAAATTGACTGAAGTTCTGAGAGACTCATTTATTGGAGACTCGCGCACGGTTATGATTTCATGTTTTTCTCCAAGTTCTGGTTCATGCGAACACACACTGAACACACTGAGATATGCTGATAGGTGATGCTTCCTTCCTCGCTTTCATACCTGAGTTTCCTCACTCTATTTTCGTTAATTTTATGAAGAGTAAATATATCATTTTTTCAGGGTGAAGAGCTTAACTAAGAGTAGCAATCCTAAGAAGGAAATACCAAATCTAAGGGTCTCAACTGTTGTGCCCCTATCTTCAGTTTTACCCACTTACTCAGCTCCTGAAACCATCAATGAAACAAGTAAGCTTGTCTCATCTAAGCGTGCCACAAAAGAAACTTCTCCACCATTAAACATGGAGCCTGCTGTGAGAGAGGACATACGAGTAGCATCTTCTTACTCGAACCACTCTAACCAAAGTAGAGGTTCCAGCACTCCTGAGGAGTACGATGCCTCTGGCAGCGCTTATGAGCGAGGCAAACAGTCCTCGAGGAAGGCGGAGTCATACTCGGTAGCAGGGCTTGATGATAGGGCTCGGAGAGTTACTGCCACACAGATAAAGAGAACTGATATTTATGACATGGATGCAAATAACTTGGAGAAGACTCGGAGAGCTACTGCCATACGGACAAAGCGAACTGAAATTTACGATATCAATGCGAATAACTCAAATTCAGATGATGAATTGAACGACCTTTTAAAGGTACATGTGAATAATTATATTTGAATCTCACCTTTTGAATTTTACGCCGAAAGAACTGTGAAAATATCCATATTTTCAGGAAGAGGATGATCTGGTAATTGCTCATAGAAGACAAGTTGAGGAGACCATAAATATTGTTAGGGAGGTGGGCATATCTGTTAAAATTTTGTTATAAGACTGACCATAGCCATATATGTTTCTGCTCACTTTGGTGTCTGGTACAGGAGATGAAACTACTGGAGGAAGTTGATCAACCTGGTAATCAGCTCGACGAGTACATTACAAAATTAAACGTCATTCTATCCCAAAAGGCGTCCGGAATAGCGAATTTACAGGCAAGATTGGCTAGTTTTCAGAGGCGTCTGACAGAACAAAATGTTTTAATTTCCTCCCCGGCTCCATGAGTTGTTCTGTGCTGAAATGAAATAGGGAACAAGTATCTGTGGCTTTTAGCTCAGTGCTGCTATGGTCTTAATATGATCAGTGGTGAACATAGCTGCAGTATGTGCTGCATATTTGTTCTGTTGTGGGGATGATGGCTTCATGTTTTAAAGTTGAGATTTTTGTCTCTTTTTATTTCCATTTTTTATTATTATAGATGTGGCATTGTTTCATTATGTTAATGAATGATACTATAGAGCTATTTGTATTATGATTTACAGGTTAAGATATGGAAGACATGACTTTGTTTGTTATATAGTTCATGTTGGCTTTCCATTTGATTAATAAAAGTGTAATTTCTTAACCATATTTTAACTACATGTGATTGCAGCTTAAAAAAATGGCGCCGTCTCCGGAGTGTCTCAGAAAATACCCATAAATTTATAAATAGCTAGACATGTGCCATGAAGGAAAAAAATATTGTATGCAATTTTGCATCAGGATTCCGATCAGGGCCTGTCACGTGTACAGACAAACCCATAAATTTATAAATAGCTAGACATGTGCCATGAAGAAAAAAAATTATTGTATGCAGTTTTACATCAGGATTTCAATCAGGGTCTGTCATGTGTACAGACAAACTCACTCATGTATTTAATTGAGGGTTTGGCTGTACACGTTGTAGGCACTTGAAGGGAGTGGGGCGCGTCTACTTGGATAAAATTTTACCAATTTGATCCTGATGAATTTTATTTTGAGATTAAAAAATATATTTATAAAACAAAATTTGTATTAATTTTAATTTAACCCGGTTAAAGTTGAATCGGAATAAACTTAAGTTTTTCTCATTAGCATCTTATTTTTCTGAAAATATTGGTACTAGTATTCTTATGTATTTATATTTATATTTAAATTTCATAATTATGCATAAAAAAATGCATTTTATTTTTTAAAAATTAAAATAGTGATATTTTTTATGTGATGAAAGATCTTGAGTCTCAATGTAAAAAAGTTTTAAATGTTAGATACATAAATATATGGAGATTGGGTGGTATGTATTTAAATGCCCCTAACAGTCATTTTAATTTAAGATCTAACAAGTGCAATCTGATCTTATTAAAAAATGTCCAACATTCTCCCTCCTGTAATCTCTTTACTTAGCAGGAATATATATCTATATATACTAAAAGAATGGTCGGAGGCTATTATATAAGCCCCCAGCCACACTCAAGTGTCAAACTATTCAAGGACCGCCCTCACTACCAACAAACTGGCCAAAGAGGGATTTGAACCTGTGACTAGAGAGTTAAGACCTTCAGAGAGGTTGCTCAACCAACAAACCACGACCGGCGGCATATAAATATATATATTCATCTCCTTGGACAATCAATTAATTGGTTAGTGAAACAAATTAATGTACATAGCCTCAATTATAGATTTTATTTTTTTTTTGCATGCAAAGTGAACTCTGTATTCATAAAAAATTTTGTAGATGTAACTTTCATCATAATTTGATAATATTAATAAATATTAACACCAAAAAGATCATAATGTTCTGTGAATTATGAATTAAAAAGAAACCTCAAATCTAAAAGTCCAGACCAAGCCATTTCTGATAATAAACACAAGTTTTAGGAGAAATAATACCATCAGGACTGCACTCATTTATCCTGGGACACACTCCACAAGGAACTGAGGATAAACCTCCTGCTTTAGGTCCCCCCCTACCCCTCAAACTTCTGTAACATTTCTTTCCTGCCTGAATATTACTGAATTCACCAACACCAGAGCTGATCAATTCCTCAATCTCCTTGTCCAAATACATGGCCACCAAAATCTCCTGAATTTGCTGCAAGCTACATTCTGTCTTAAATATCCCAGAATCCCTCACACACTTCCATACATTCTCCACACTCGCAATCTTCAACCTTTCAACATGCATTCTGCACTGTTCCCTCAGTATCCTGATAAATTCGAGATCCAGGGTTCCGTCGGAATACCACGTTCCGCCTGATATCTCTTTCGAAGGCTCGAATTCGACGGCCATGAAGAATTTTCTCGCCTTGTTGTGGACGTTGACCACGTCTTTGATGAGGTTTTTGGATTGGAGGGATTTGAGGGCCTTCGTGACGGCGTTGTTCGCAAGGCCGGTTTGCTTCTTCATGTCTGCAGTCCATATTCCTAAGCTTTGTTTGCTCCATATTAAGTCGTGTAGTTTTTTCTCATTTTCTGGCAGTGGAGGAAGCTTGCGCTTCTGAGGTAGCTTTGCAGTTCCATTCATGATCCGGGATTTCTGCCTGAAAAAAAAAAAAAAAGAGGAAAATGAGAAGCAAGATCTGATGGCCCATAAAAGTTGAACAATGACTGCTTGCACTGGTAATTCAGGAAATTAAATGTTTTGTTGTTCGGAATTGTCTTAAATTGTTTCGGAAGAAGGTTCTACATCAAATGGATTGAGGATAATTGTGATGCCTGATGTATTGATAGGCCAGTTAATTGAATGAAAAAAAAGAAGATTTACATGCATACCATTAATTTTCCTGAATTATCAATCAAATTTCCTCATCACATATTTTCCAGAAGCTAAAATACCCATCACAAATGCCCTAATTAAAAAACAAGTTTGAGCACATGATGAAAGAAAACTGGTGCAATCACCACTAAATTTTCAGATGTCAAATTTCTTACAGGAATAATGTTAAATTCTCCTACAAATCCTGCACCCAAATATGCTCATAAAACAATAGGATTGGTTAACAAAAGTTAAACAAATGCAAATGAGATCAAGTGGCGGTGGTTATAACAAAAACTAGAGTTTGAAGAAATTCGACAAACTAAAAAACCAAAAAATAATGGATAGAAATAGAGTAATAGAAGTCGATTGGAGCAATCAACATGGTGGTTAACAACAATTATGGGTCATCAAAACACATCAGTGAATGACATCGAGTTTTCCATGCAACAAAGAGAGATGAAAAGTGGGAGAGAGGAAAAAGTTGGAAAAAACCAAAAAAGAAATACAAAGATTATAGCTAATCCTTAGCAAGATTCCATGTAGTGATAGAGGTCTAATCCAATGCATGCAGACCACAATCATTACCAGCCAAAACTGACTGGAAAATCTAAGCCAAAACCGATTCGATCAAATAAAACCATAAGTAAGTAGGGATGCATTAAAAAAAAAACAAATATTCAATCCAAGAATGACATGACACGCCACTTAGGGTGTGTTTGGGGCAGCTTAGTTGCTGTGGCTTGACACGAGAAGGCACTTTGAGGCATTTGGTTTCCATAGAGTGGGTTTGTTTATTTAAACTCACCTGAGGTGACACGACGCCGTCTGCGACCAACGTTCTGCAATTTCCTTTCAACATTACCCGGCTGCCCCGCAACACGTATCTATTTGGGCGATTCTCCTTCGGTTCACTATCTAAGAAATTTTCTTTCTTTGCTTTTTTTTTTGTACTATGATACCTATGACGAGTGATTGCTTGGCATTTTCTTCCTTTGCTTTCCTTCGTCCTCTGGTACCCTCTATCCATTAACTTTAAAAGCTTTTCTCCGCGGTTTGTGGTCTCTATCTTAGTGGCTTTGTTCTTCGTGATTTGTGTCTTGTGCAAACACCCAATTGCTTTTGATTTGTTTTTCTGTGAAGTTTTTCGGAGAAATGGCTATATTGGAAGAATGACATTTGTATACTCTGTGATGACTTTCATTTTTTCATGGTTGTTTCAAGAATTTTTGTTGACGACTTTGTTCTTTGTGGTTTATTGTCTCCGTGCCGGTGGGATTACTCTTTGTGGTTTGTTCTCTATCTCAGTTTGGTTGCTCTTTGTCTCGATTGGGTTGCTCCTTGTGGTTTGTTCTCTATCTCAGTTGAGTTGTGCTTTGTGTTTTGCTCTCTGTTTTAGTTAGGTTGCTCTATATATGCTCATTGAATTTTGATGAACAACTATGTTAAATGCTTTTTGATGAATGGGGGGATACTAATTTATGTGTTTTATGAATCTATTTTGGTGGGTTGCTCTTTGTGGTTTGCGGCTCATCTATGCTCAATGAATTTTGGGGTTGTTCCTGATGGTTTGTGGTTCCTTTGAGGACCTTCAGTATGAACCTATGTGCAAAATTTTTTGATGAAGGGAGTAGCCTTCATTTTTCTTATGAAATTGTTTGATTAATTTTTTACTTGTTATAAAAGGGTGAGACGTGTAGCCTGATTTTATTGGGATTGATACTTTGACTTGTCTTTGTATTGCTAAGAAGAACTCATTGAACTTTTTGATGAAGTCGTTAACTTATTAAGTAGCTCCCAAGCATGGATAAATATAATTAATCTTGGATAAATATGCTTGAGCTTTGATCAATACTTTCTTAGATTTTGAGGAGCTTATCATGGGCATGACTTTGATTAGTTTTGGTAAGTTCATATTAATTTTTGTGAATTTATTCTGTATATTCATTATTATCAGGACGCGTTATGCCAATGGAAATTTGGAAAATTAGGATGACCACATTGGTTAAATTATTTGAATTCTTTCTCATCTTCATGAGTTTCCAAGTGGGATCCATGTCATTGAATTGAAGAGTTAATTAAAATGTCAAAAATGAAACAAATGCTAAAGTTGGTGAACAAATGGTTGTTTGTTTGATTATTTATAACTTGGTAGAAGCTATTCTACTTCTCTTTCCAGGTTCATTGGTGATTATAAAAAGGGGCGATTATGCACATGCAATCAAATTCAAACATATTTATGTTTTTTTGTTTTAAAATATTATTGTTGAATTCAGTGTTATTTTTATGTGTTACTACATCAACACAAAATAACATGGACATAAAAAGATGTAAAAGAAAGACTACATCTATATTATGCTTAATGTATGCGTATTACAACTCATATATTGCTCACACTCCCTGCGTGATATCCCCGAACTTTAGCAATAAATGAGTTGAGGAATTGCTTGTGGGTCATCCAACAAGACATAGCATGTTCCGTGTGACACAGACCATATTAATTGATCTCTTAGAAGAACTACACAAAACATTATGAACTCCATAGCTCCTTTAGGATGACTTCAAGAAAGATGTTAGTTAAAATCCTCTACATTTTATCACAAAATAAGTCCATGAGAAGAGTTACAAAATAATTCCAACACTCATTAGAAACAATTAGTAGATATTTTTCAGTTGACTTGAATTCTCTAATCAGCTTATCTTCAAACATTATCAGAGCCGAAAACTTTACATTTCAAAGCACCTCTAGAAAGATCTCACAAGATCAACACTACGTACCATATTTTAAGGTAGATTTATGTTCATTTTTTTCCAAAATTTACTTAAACATAGTAAATCAAATATCTTACATAAATGAGTAAGGATTGTGTTAGAGCAATTGTTGAAATACATGTGAATGCACGCATGTCCAACAGTAAAATATTATGACTATATGTGATTTGAATATTTGTTTCACTTTTATAATGACCAGAGGGGAAGACAAATCACATATTCAAATTTGCTATATGAACTAATAAACACAACTTCCCAAAGCCGCCTCCAAGCTTTTGCTTGAATATGAAAAAATTAAATAATTATTTATGTACAATATCAAAGATTATACTTATAACAGTCAAATATTATTTAGTTGATGTTGGATATTAATTACAAAGAAGATATCTCGAACGCTTTCCTGATACAAAATATCACATTCTTGATTTCAAAAGACTTAACGTTGATCAGAAAAAAAAAGAAAATGTTTAACAGGAAATACTCATCTTTACGTGGTGTTATTAAGAATATATCTAACGTATGAAAAAAAATGAGTTTTTCTACGAGGTATACCCACACGTTCTTTCAAAAACAAGTGAAGAATGTGATGACTCTTCATAATTACATTCGTCAGCATCATTCATGTAGTGATATTGATTTCAATAGTGCAGATGAAGATCAATCACATGCTCATACTGAAGCATATGAATATCGCTTAGGGTAGTCAATATCACTAGCTATATGTGATTTACCTGTCTTGTACACATGATGGGGAAGGTGCTGAGGAGATAGAGTTGAGAGAGTAAATTAAAAATGCAATAATTAATGAGTGTGTTGGAATTTATAATAGGAAATAATTTATTCTTATTAGAAGTTATGAGGATTAGATTTATTTTCTAATATCTTTATTTTCTTTCCTATTTTAGGCTTTCCTATTTTATGTTGTTTCATTTATCTCCAAATAATTAACATAAATTGATTAATTAGAGATTTAAGGTGTTATATCTTTCCTTTCATATTATTTCTTTTTATTGTTTTTCCCATTCAAGAATTAATGTAAGGGTTCTTTATATTCTCTTTCATATCAATAAAAAAATTTTGCATTATCCTAAATTTCAACATGGTATCAGAGTAAAATTTCCTACCTTAGTTGTCGGTCCTCCCTCCAAAGTCGTCTTGTACACATGATGGGGAAAGTGCTGAGGAGATAGAGTTGAGAGAGTAAATTAAAAATGCAATAATTAATGAGTGTGTTGGAATTTATAATAGGAAATAATTTATTCTTATTAGAAGTTATGAGGATTAGATTTATTTTCTAATATCTTTATTTCCTTTCCTATTTTAGATTTACTTTCATGGATTAGATTAATTTTCTTTCCTATTTTAGGCTTTCCTATTTTATGTTGTTTCATTTATCTCCAAATAATTAACATAAATTGATTAATTAGAGATTTAAGGTGTTATATCTTTCCTTTCATATTATTTCTTTTTATTGTTTTTCCCATTCAAGAATTAATGTAAGGGTTCTTTATATTCTCTTTCATATCAATAAAAAAATTTTGCATTATCCTAAATTTCAACATGGTATCAGAGTAAAATTTCCTACCTTAGTTGTCGGTCCTCCCTCCAAAGCCGCCAAACTCCCTTCCTGCCATCCTCCACGTAGGAAGGGAGGGATTCGGGCTCTGAAAGTGAGTGAGAAGCCTTCAGTGACGAAATAGGCGGCAGAGATCCTATCTCACTGTGGAAGTGGCATACGACCCAACAAGGGGTGGTCACGGTTCAATCGTGTTTTCAAGTTTGAGGACGCCATTGGCAACCAGCTTTGTCATATGCTAATGACCTCCGTGACGGGCCACCTAATGGAGATCGACTTGGAAGATCGCTTTCAAAAGTGGCATTCGTGCGATCCCGCAGACTTCTACTATGCACTTTTCCGCAAGTATGTTCCTCAGGACAAGTTGGATTTGAAAAGAACATTGAAAGAAGAAGCCAGAAGGTGCCAGTGGCTGGTATTGTGGCTTGACTGTGACAGGGAAAGGGAAAATATTGCATTTAAAGTGGTTGATGTTTGCATTTTTGTCAATAGTCAGCTCAACATATGGAGAGCTCGTTTCTCAAAATTGATTGATAGGGAGATACAAGTAGCTCTCTAGAAACTTGTTTGGCCCAACAAATTTTTTGCAGATGCAGTGGATGTCAGATAGGAAATTGACTTGCGAATTAGTCCATCATTTAGCAAGTTTCAAACAATACTTCTAAAAGATACATTTGTGTTGGATTTTGCTGCAGATGAGAAGAGAGTTATTGTTCTAAATTATGTCCCTTGTTAGTTTCATAGTTTGGGTTTCTTATTTAAACGGTTTTGGGAGATATAGGCAAACAAACCAGAAGAATTTTGGACCATTAATTGTCCTCATACATCAAAAGAGGGAACTATTACTTTCTCTTGGACGCGAGGACACCTCCTCCAGAGCCTTTTACTGCATCAAGCTCCCCACCCGGAAACTTTTTCATGCATCAGGTCCTCCACCGAAACTCTTCCTGTAGCAGACCTTCCTCCAAAACTTTTTCCTGCATCACTACCGCCTCTGAAATTTCCTACAGAAGACCCACTTCCGGAGCTTTCCTGCAGAAGACCCTCCTCCAAAACTTTTCCAGCAGCAGACACTCCACTTGAATTCATCTTGCAGCAGACCCTCCTTCGAAGCCTTTTCCTGAAGCAAGTCCTACCTATGAAGCTATTCCTTTTTTTTTCATTTTTTTGTAGGCAATACTCCAATTTTTTCTGGCTTGTGGTTGTAAACCTTCAAAAAATATGAGCTCGATAATTTTTGGTGCCTATAAAGTATTGTACTATATATACGGATTATAATGATCTGAACATACATTACGAAATAAGCATATTTATGAGAGAAAATTTTACAGGTGTTTAAGAAATAGATTAACAAAGGAATGTGATTTCTTTAGGCAGACATATAATTTGCGGATTCCAACTTAGATAGTCATCAAGCGTGAAAAGTTTCTTTGAAGAAGTTATCTCATAAATTTGATCATCTGCATTTCAAATTAAATATTACGATAATGTTAACTGTTGTTGTAGTGGTTTTATTTTAGATTTTGAATATTGTATTACTCACTGTTAAGTAAGATGTCAGGTCTAAGTATAATATTTGAACTTATGAGTTTTTAGGAATTCTGAATATAATTTTTATTTTCAAATATGAGAAACCTAAACAGGTTCTCTTATAAACTACACAACAATATAGGGGCAAAAAAGTCTTTTTATAATAAAGAAGCAGCACAGCTGTACAAAACAAACAGAAGCATGGTTTCTTAGCACAGCTGCCCCAAACAGACCCTTAATCTTCATATGAATGGAAAAAGCATAAGAAGTTCAACGTATAATTTATGACTCTCTTTGGTAACATCGCCATTTTTAAAAGAGTGCCTTACTTCAAATTATTGCAATGAGGATGCTCTTTGGTAACATCGCCATTTTTAAAAGAGTGCCTTCAAATTATTGCAATGAGGATGTACACATAACACATGTAACTTAATAAATCCAATTTGAACGCTGGAAATTTTAAAAGCCTCAAGTTAACAGACAGTTATAGTTTTGTCTCTTCTTTCTCAAGCAATGCATGCAATTCTTCTTTAAGCAAAATATTTATTCCTTCTCTGGTCCACTTCACAAGCTCTCAGATTAGAAAAATTATTTTGTCCGACGACCGCATGTGCTCTACATGCGGTAGCGAATGAAAAATTAACACATGTAATGGTGAGCCCTCAGTGAAGAGAAATAAGCAGAATGCGTGACCCGACCCGAACTCCGCCCAATAACCGGAAAAAGCGTATATTTGGATTTATGGAATCCCGCCAAATCTAGTATTTCGACATTTTCGATCCATCCAAAGATTATT